CGGAACAAAATTAATGCTTCCCTAATGTACATCCCTTTCCTAGCAACACCATATCACTGTATTGTTGACTCTTCCTTCCAATAAACACTATTATAATATGTGTGGTGAGTGGTATAAAGACAAGCAAATCATACATTTCCAAGCATCTAATGCGTGTATGCTAATATAACTGGAATCTGTGTTTATTCACCTATACTACTATTGCATGTCTACAAAGTCGTATGTTGATGAAGCACTGAAGTCTGCTTACTTTATCTTCTGTGAGACTAATTCACATTTGCCTTCCAGGTAGTCCAGCTTCTTCCTGTCCAAATCTGTCTGGATCTTCAGCCTGTGGTCCAAGATGAGAGACTGGAGAAGCTGAATGCACTTAATCAACTCCTGGTTAGGGAAACAAAAGAACAAAATGCTAAATATTGTTCTGACAAACTAAGCAGAAGATATCCAAACCATATATAAGCAATGTACTTATTTTAATGATGAAAAAATAAACCTAGGTGAGGTTCCTTAAGTTAACCAAATACATTGAAAAAAGTACGTACAGACAGGTAGAGTTGAGTATGTCTTTGCAAGAGTACTGTGTTTTCCCTGCAGGTCTCCTTAAGACTCTCTGTTCTTTTCTTCTCTCCCTCCAGCTGAGCTGACAAATGAGACAACTTGCTGTTCTTCAGACCCTCACTCTCATTCTCTAAAACAGATTACAAAACAAACATGTTGGTCATCATCTCAGTGCAGAGCAATGAAGCGATATGACAGTGCTAAAAGTGAACTAGCAGTTACATTTAACCACAGACTAAAATCAGTGTTAGCTCATGTACCCCATTCAGGCTGATAGTATGACAGGAGGCTGAGACACTTTTTCTTCAGATGTTTCTCCAGCTCTCTGGGAAGACTCTGTTTCATTCTTTGCACACTCTGGCAAAGATAAGCACAACATGGGCACAGGAAAAACACACAAGGTGCATAATGAAAAAGATACAAAAGTGTTTTGGTGTCAGATTTTTTGTTCCGCTTTAGTGCCGCTGTACATTTTTTTTGCTTTGAGATCATGCAAGGAAAAAGATCATTTTTATTTAGGGGCTACACGTATTCAGAACTAACATATAGCTCCAAAAACAAGATGTAGTTGAATGTCCTGCATTCACCTTCTCTGATGGCAGGAGCTCCATCACCTGTTGTGGTTTCAGGCCGAGAACAGAGGGCTGGTCCTGGTCGTTACTGCTACTGTCATCCAGCTGTCTGAGGCACTGAGCTACCAGCAGACACTTCTCCATTGTCTCACAGAACTATATACACACACACACACACACAAAGAATGTGATATATTAAAGTCACTCCTCACAATCTAAACACTGTGCCTGTCTCACACGCCACAATGAGCAATCTTTTTTCACCTTGATAAACAGTACGCAACTTACTTCCATCATGATGTATGGTAGAGTTCTAGGTACTGAAGGTAAAACGTTTCGCATTTAGCTGTGTTTTGGACCTGGCAATGAACAATGTAATTCACCTACTGCAGCTTTAATGACCAAAATACATATTTTCCTTGCATCTGTGGCATGTGCATTTGTAGACTAGGCAAATAAATATCTGAGATGTACCATGTTCTGGTCAGGTGGGACAGTGCCATGGCATTTCCTGACACAGTGGTCCTGGATCATCTCCTGCAGCCCTCTGTAGAGGCTCTCTGAGCGCAGCCAGTAACGTCTCTGGCTCTGTAGCTTCTGCTCAACCTGAAAAAAAAAAGCATCTGTAAGTGCTCATGGATACATAAAACTGTAACGTTACTAACTCAGATTTGTTTAGGATGAAAAAAAGCTCCATCTTTGTGATTTCAATTCTTACTGTTACCAGCAGACTTTAATTAAGTAACTGAATATGAACTACTTCTCTTCAGAAGCTTCTGTCCCAGTGTAAGCACAGTGTCTGCTGATACCTTGTCCAGCTCTGTTTTCAACGGGACAGTGAGTCCAGTTTGGTCCACATGTTGTGCCAAGGTGGCCAGGAGTTTACAGAACTGAGGGTTCTGGATCAGATCCTCCTCTGTCATGTCACACAGAGGGAAGGAGGCGAGAACTGGGTGAAAAGAAAGTAAATACCGTTAGCTTTTTATCAATGACCAAAGTAAACCACTGTCAGGCCATTCACAACAGCACATTAACGTTACAATTTTAACTAGGTTAACTCTAAATGCTATAGCTTTTTTCATCAAACTATCATATTACTTGACAGTCACAAAGGAACCGTCTCGGCAGTAATTTAGCCTACGTAGTTAATGTTTTCTTACCCTGCTGATGCAAGCTGTCACCCCTTCCAAGTGATGATACATGTATAGATTCGGAACCGGCCGACATATTCAAATGAAATGTGACCCTTATTAACGAAGAAACATATCGGTGTATATATTCCTACTCTGACGACAACACGACAGAATAATAAAAATGCACTTCCTGAATCAATTTGCGCGCGTCTACAAGAAGTGTTCTTATTGGCGAACTAACCCACGTGATCAATACAATCGGTGTATGACGGACACTTAGGTACATTTAGTCAGGTTCTGTACATAAGGACAGTTTTCAAGTTCAAGGTCAAAGTGTTTGTTCCTCATATGCACAGTTAGGAAACGTGTTTCCCTGTACAATGAAATTCTTACTTTGCCGTCCACGTGAATGCTACAAAATACAAATGAAATATAAAGTAGATAAATAAGTAACACAAAATCTAAGGCACTTTAAGCAGCAAATGCAGCAATATAATAAAAATATATAAGAATATAATAAGAGAATGTATGCTGCATGGGAGCAGCATGTGCAGCAGTCAACAGTCATTGTGCAATTATGCATGTGCAAACTGAGAATGTAAACAGTACATCATGTATTTCCTGGTAATAAACTCCTCAGCTGTTTAGGAGTCTGATGCCAGAAGGAAAGAAAGAGTTTTTCAGTCTAGTGGTCCTGCATTTAACACTTCTGAAACTCCGGCCGCCTGTGGTGGTAAATGCTCTGCAGAGAGGGCAGTGGAGTCCTGGTGATCTTCTCCGCAGTCTTTACCACTCTCTGCAGGCGCTTGCGGTCCATAGCAGTAGTGCTGCCATACCAGACAGTGATGCAGCTGGTCAAGATGCTCTCAATGATGCATCTTTGAGGTAGCTGTATTTTAATTGTGTATTTTCATTCTCTGCTACTTCACACTTACTACATTTTAGTAACATCTATGACTGTCTAATCATTCTTTTTTTTTTTTTTTAGCTTACAGGTTTTGCAAAAATGACAAAGGCGGAGGTGTTCCTCTTACCTGAATAAGATAACACAGTGATCCCGCATCATGGCATAGTACAAAATTATGCAGTTAATCATCAGACTGCATGTTCACTGCATTACATTGCAAAAAATAAAAATAATACAAAACAGCCTACTAGACTGTAGCTATGACTTCCTGTGTTATATTTACATAGGCCACCACAACAAGATGTAATTTCAGATGGAGTAATAGCTGTAAGTCAGAGCTGAACAAAGTAAAGTGCATTTCAAGAAAGTCAAAATAGGTTCATTTTCAAGATATGGTGCATTTTATCTGTTACTTTGTTCAGCTTCTTGCCCCTAAATCTAAAACTCATCTGCTTAACACCCTGATTCTTGGGTTAAAGTTAACAAGAGGTTTAAAATGCTCCAAGTCATGAAAGCTCTTTCACTACAAAGGAGGGTATCAACTCTGCCATCCAGAAAATGCTGTAGCATTTAGCTTCATTTTTGCACCTCATATGGGCTAGAAGAGGGATGCTTCTCCACAAGTCTCTCTGGATGAGATGTCCACTATAGCCCCTTTTTAACAGGGGCTATCGACGCAGTTCTAATCAACATATTTGTTTTTCCATCATTCAGATGTTGGGGATAGTGCCCGGTACCTGGTACCCTACTCCTTTTGAATTTCCAAGTGAAGTGAGCTATTGATTGGCTATTGTATGGCTGTTTCCTGATTATAACACAGAACCACTAGGCTATACTGAAAAATCAGTTTTACATGCTTACATTGATATATAATCCTCTGTATTGACAGTCAGCGGTCATATCTTTGATCAGTTTGAAGAAAGGTATGGTTGTGCTATTGCATGATGACCTGGCAAAAATGGCAGCAGAAAGAAGTGGAGGATTCTGAATGTCTGGTTTGTTATAATGACTTATTCTAATCAATAGGCTACTTGAAAGTTGAATAGAAAATATTACGTGATGTGATATGTCATGTGTTGGGTTCTCTGGCTGCTGCATCCAAAGGTGCTGATTTATACTACCTGTCAATAATTGTCAATAACATAGTGACTCTTTTTATTATAGTCTGTGTTATGCACAATTTAAACAGCCCTGTACAAATGATACAAGATTGGTTAGATATAGCCTCAAACATTTAAATAAATAGGTCTTGTATTGGTCATATTCTCTAATGTGAATAGTGAATTGGGGATTCCAAAGTTGTGTATTTCCTTGCAGCAGTCCTTATCCATATCTGATCATCCTGGTGCTGCATCACTGATGTTTTGCAACCCTTAACATGCCTTTAACAACACAATTTTAAACTTCTTTAGTCATCATTTTGTTATAGGACCAGCCACAGTTTGTGGGTCTAGAAAAAATGACAAGATGTGCCATCTGGCATAAAAGAAATTCCTAATCCAGTGTGTGTTTTGTCCACGTTTCCAGTACGATTAGTGGCAATATAAATATGGCTCGGTACAATTGAATAATAATAACTTCACTGTAATGCTGTTTACACAATAGCTAGTGGTCCTCACTCATCAATGAGTGGGCAAAATTAGATATGAGAGCCAGTCAACTGACACGGAATAAAACCAATGAATTGTTTTATGATGCGACTCACTACATTTTATTGGTCATGCTTATAGACCAACCCTTATTTGCTAAACCAATTAATGAAAGCTAGAGTTGATTGTCGAGGCCCTTAGCGAATCATAAGTCCGAATTTTCTAATGGGCGGGTCTTTGTTGTAGAGGGGTGGGGTGTTCGAGGTCATTCAGGGCCTCTCTGATTCACTCGATCGGCGTGTGTTTGAGGGAACGGCTGGCTGGAGTAATGAGTCGCCGGGCGGTAGTGCATTATAGAGGGTTTTTGGGGAAAAAACGCTGCTGAAAATTGCACCCGAGACTGATGAAACGACCCCTGGTGACGATTTCTATGAAATTGTTCAACACAACGACTGCGCCACACGCACAACCAGCAAACGCAGCCAAGCTATCAAATGCTAGTCAACTAGCATCCCTGAAAACCGACGGGATCAAGGTGTTGATAGCTAGCCTCCCAGCTAATTATCCATCAGCTAGCATCATCTCGCAGTAGCATCATTAGCTTGTTTTGCCTCCTCGCGTGCGTCGAGACTTGACCACTGCTCGGAACGGTGCCTGTCAGCTCACGAGCACCAAATCCCACATCCAGACAAAAACGGAGAACGGAGCTTCCTAACTGGTTGCTGCTGGAGACAGCGTCTGCGTTGCATTAGTTGACACCATCACACCCATCTCCCCAACCCTTTCACCTCTGCCCCTCTCCCTCCACCCGAAACACTGGAAATCAACAAGCGGCCGGAGAGCGGCGACGGGCCGGCGAAGCTGGGGGTGGTAACGCGTAGCGGCTACAGAGAAGCACAGCCGTGTGGATCTACCGACAAGTATGGACGGGCTGGCTGTGGAAGTTCGCGGCTCTAATGGGGCCTTCTACAAGGTAACCTGGGTACAGTCGTAGTTTCAGGTTGTCCCAGTTAAAAGTTTTGTTTAAAGAGAAACTTGTAAGTTTCGTTCTTCTGAACCCAGCCCCATCTAGCAATTATGTGGCTAATGTTAGCTTAGGTCCGGTCCTGACCAGCAGTGATGGATTTGTGTTCTGTTACCACTGGCCATTGTGGGCTGGGTAGCTAGCTCTAGCTAACAGTTAAGCTAGGTACACTTGTCATCACCACGTATGGCCTGTATTTATTCGTTTTTAGCAAATGTCTATATGAGTACAAGCTATACCTTGACAAACAGATTATCGTGGCTTTGGAATTGCACGCATCACCACTCATAACGTAATACATTGTCTTGAAATGTGGGATGCGAACATTTAAAACAGGAGCGAGCCGCTAATAACCACAGCTGTTTTGCCCTTTCTGCGCAGAAGTGTGGTGAGATGCTATATCAAAGCTCATATATTTGTTTCGTAGACCAACCCGCGTCTTAGCTACAGCAGCACAGTCTCTTGTTTATTGCTCTGCTAAGGAAGAACTACAGTGTCAGTTTCTGTTTCAATTCTGTCTTATTTTCAAAAGAAACTATACCTTCATATCCAGGCACATGACTTGAAGTCTTTGTTACTGCTCTGTCACAGCTTGTTTATTGTTGTCAAGCATCACATTAAGATGGCTACTTGGTGACATGGAATTTGATTCTACACGTTTATTTTATCAAAAGGGAGCACAAATATCAATGCTTTTGAATCAGTCGTACACATTTGGGTATTGGTGAACATTGTAAGTTCAGACAATTTCAGATTTCTTAGTGAACTGACAAAGTCTGGAGGTAGTCCCAACCTATTGATAGGCAAATAACCCTGTTCACCCTCTTTGTGATTTTTAGTCTCAAACTATGTGGCATCTCCTATTTAAATTTTTCATAATGTTTTCATGTGCTGCACTTCTCTTTTCTGTCTTCAAGCTTTCAGCTGGCCAGCTGACCACATGGTGGCTTAGAGATGAGCCTATATTTACTCTCGTGCTGTTTCACCTGTTGTTCTGTTTTACGGGGTGACAGTCCAGCTCTGGCATAAATGGACACTTCCACTTAACTCTATTTCGTCCATTTTCTTACAGTTCTCTCTTTGCAGATAAATGATTGTAGTATGCAAGGTAAAGGCTTTACTGTTTTTTTTTTGTTGTTGTTGTTGTTTTTTTTTTGTTTTTCCTCTTGTGATTGACACATGGGGCAAAAAAGATTTTGCTTTTTGAATGAACCTCATTTAATTTGGTGTCACATTGAGTAATTTTTGTAACTGAATAGGCTCGTATTTATAGACCTGTCAGGGTAAATGGCACCTTTTCCTGTTTAAGGTCTGCACCCTTGGTAGCAACAAGGACATATTGGGCAAGCTGATAAGACTGAGGATTCAGACAGTTCCTCTACTCAGTTGTGAACATATTTTTCTCACTTTTGTTTCTGGCTGCACATATTACACTTTTATTTGTATTTTGTTAGTCAGATGAATAAATCAGAAAAAGGTGGTTACTTGTATGCAACTATCTTATCCAGTCCATTTTTTGAGCTCCTCTGGTCTGAAAGGTCTTGGTAACCACATGGATGTGAATGGATGGTCTCAGGAAGAAGCAACAGTCATTATGAAACTGCCTATGATCCACCTCTATCACCACATTTCTACTATTACTTCTATATTATGCTAAAATGAGGACTTTCCTGTCCTTTGACCCGATAGTGCTGGGACATAACATGCACATTCAGCTGACTCTTAGCTGACTTCTAGAAATTGGTGGATGAGTACATGTTCATTCAGACCTGTTGTCATTGCTTGCTTCTTATCCAAAGGTTAGCTAGCCCTTTAGCCACTGGGTGTGAGTGGCAGATGGTAACTGTTGACTGTGAACCAGGAACTTCTCAGAATAGCAGCTGTAGTGAGAGTGGGCTGTTTAAAGGGTAAAAAAATCCCACTACATCTATACACACATTGCCTTTGATCCAAGCTGAAACCCTAGCCGGCTCTTCCACTGCAGAGGCAGCATCTTCTAGGCAGGTGAAGCCATACACCAACTCCCAACCCCAGGCATGCTTACAGCTGAAGATACTGCCTGACCTCTCTGTCCCATATACGGTAGTGTCACTGAGAGACATGCCACACCCACCACCCTCCTCCCATTTTCAGTGCTGGGGGTGCTGCTCAGAGTTTATGGCATCCTGTGACAGATTTGTGGATGGTAGACAACACATTTAAACATTACCTCTCATAATAAGAGAGACATCATAGGGGCTATTGCATAATCTGTCCATAATGGTTAGAGTGCCTGTCCTCCTTTTACATGTTCTCTCATGAACATACCTGAGTTAAAACTATTGTCTTCCAGTGTGCACACAAAAGAGAGGTCATGCATTTTAATTCTGGTTGTGTGTGTTTGTGTATGTGAGAGAGAGAAAAATATTTCCAGGCTGTCTGTGCTGTCAGGAGGAGTCAGTGTTCCTCGTCGCTTTATCCAGCACAGACTTCACAGCCAGCAAATTGTGTCAGTGGTGTGTTGTCTTGGCTTCCAAAAAGCCCTAGATGCTCTTTTTCCAGCAGGAGTCACAGTATTGGTCTAGCACGGCTTACAAGCCAGCTGTCTGTTGTTTATATGCAAAATCAAATGCTCACAGCCTTGTCCTTCATCACTGTCTGTATTGTGCATTCGTGGCAATAAAATTCTCTCTCTTATCTTTTAGGGTTACATCAAAGATGTCCACGAAGACTCACTCACAATTGTATTTGAAAACAAGTAAGGTTGTTCTTTCTGTTAACCATTCATGTGTACATGCTTCATGATAAACACTTCTTACAGGGTGAAATTTGGCTTGAACAGTTGAGTTACGATGACCTCTCCAGGCTAGTGCTTTACCCAGGCATTCAAAATGGTCGTCTTGAGCACCTGTGCGTGGCATGCAGCTGTCCATACACATCTCTAACAGTTTTTTTATTTTATTTTTTACTTCTTGCTTTGACCCCTCCTGCCCCTGGCATCCTCATAGTGTGCTTTGCTACACTCCCAGCTCCCAACAACCTCACCAACTCCCCCACCCATTCCTCTTTATCTACTTGGCTTAGAGTGTAGTTCAGGGTGTCCCTAAAATAGTGACCAAAGGTATGCATCGTGGGAGGGGTGGCAGTATGGTGGCCTGTCTCCATCTACTTTTAATTTCTCTGAGCACATGGTGGTGTTGGAGTAGCTGGTTGTGCAAGATGGTGAATGAAACGCCTTTTTTGGTGTATAATGATAGTAATAAGACTTAAATAAAGACACTGAATATTAAGCTTCAAACTGAGCTTGACAGGTGTTTTTAGATGTCAGTACTGAAGGAACATAGAATTTAGCCAGGTTTCAATTTATGTGTCTAGACTAGGAATATCAGGTCATGTAGTGAACTCTGTGGCACTCGGCTCAGCTATTGTCAAGTGCTTATTTACTGTAAAAGGACATCTTACATTGAACCTGGTCACTCACTGTCCAGACTTGGTTCCTTGAACTTGCTCATTAAACGTAACAACCCATTTTCATTTTTTTTTTACATTATGTTATTTAATGTGCTATTAAAACACCCATGCTATTGCAAGAGAGAGCTATAGGGATTTTGTATATAGGAAAACCCTGAAGTTAGCATCACACTGGTTCCCTTGACAAAAAGCCAATGGGATTTTTCTGTAGGCTTTTGGATTATTGCAGAAAATAAACTCTGGGATAAACAACACTTTTACATTTGCATGTTTTGTTCAGCAAGATCATCTTCACAAGTGAACACCACTTCTGTGATTTTTGAAGCCTAAATATGATCGCCAGGAGCAAAAAGCTGTTAGGCTTTAAACAAATGGCACCACGGTCCTGTCATTTTAACATTATCACCACAGCTTTCATTTTGTAATTTGATTTCTAGCACTTACCTCCTCTACAAAACCCTTTCCTCTTAGTTTGACTTGATCATACCTAGTTATAATGGCTGCGTCATTTAGAATAGTTTTAAAGTGTGCGGGTTTTAATATAATGAGGCCGTAAGGGTGGACTAGTGAGTCTCCATGTTTGTCATAATGATGGTTAATATCCCAGACAGCCACTGTAGCCAGTTGTTGGCAACTGTTTAACCAAAAAACTAATTCAAAAAGTCTACTGACTTCAGAGAGGGAGAATCGGAAATGCAACAATTATAACTCAATTCTGGGGTTTTGTACTCATGACTATGACACTCAATACCAATATGAGCTAAGAGACAAAGAGCTTGAGTTGTTGCTGAACTCAGTTGTGTTACCTGTTATTGTTGATAAACGTTCTGTATTTTGTCTCCCTGTTGTCTCACCATAGCTGGCAGCCAGAGAGACAGTTGCCTTTCAGCGACGTACGATTGCCTCCTCCGGCAGACTACCACAAAGAAATTGGTGAAGGAGAGGAGGTGGAGGTGAGGCGAGCTGCTTGGCATCTCTCTGTCTCAGCTCATACACCTTAATTTTTGCTAACCTCATGTGCCAAGGCCTTGGTGTCTTTGCGTTTTATCAGATTAATTATTACTGGCGGGTCCTGATGTTTGGCATCTCCAGGACATCCATGTGGC